TTGAATAGACTTTTGGTTTGGTATCTTGGTTCGGTTCGGTTATTTAGTCCATCAAAGTCACTTAGCAAAACCACAGTCTGTGAGTTAACGAAGAATGTTTATTATATCCTGAGCAAGAGAAAAGAAACAGTTTGATACGAAAATATAACCAGTTAGAGTAAGTAACATAAGTAACGCTAATTTCGAACATCTCTTGAAGATATTTGAACAAAAGTTTGGCCTCCCAAGCAGTAGACCAAATCACTTTGCCTTTTGGTTTGGTTTTTTTAGGGTATATAATCAAATTGATCCAATAATAAATGGGTTGAGATACATAAAAGACTATGGTAATTGCAAAGAGCATTTTGAAAAACATTTAGCTCTATAGATTGACATTACTATGCATTTGCTTGTATTTTAGAGAATTACTGTGTAGCTATTTCTGTTTTTGAAAAGATTTTGTTACATTAGATAAACAAATCATTTCAAAAACACAAACTATCATTTTTGTCTCTCTTCTATATACTATCTCATCATCGTCAATATAAAAATCAACTACAATATCACTTCTTTTCACAATTTCATCATAAGGTTTGAAGAACAATCTTTTTACCATTTTACCGACACCGTTTCTTCAACTCTTTTTAGGACACATATTAAGAACAATTTATTTCACAAAATTTCATCGGGCATCCTTACACTAGCATCTATAACCAGAGATATGTGAAAATGTACATTGAGTGCACAAGACCATTTGATTTAGTAACCAACTTAATTACCAAAGTAAAAATACAATTGTTTAAAAAAAACACTGAAACCGAAGCTGAAGAAGACATGAGATCTAAAATCAAGGAGTTAGGAGGTGATGAGAGTGTGAGTGTGATTGACTCTTTCATGATGGAAACAGATCCTCATAACCTTGAAGGTTATGTTTTTCATTCACAATTGATGAATGAAAAATCTCGCCCTAAACCACAAATGAAGAAATCAACAACTAGCAAAGCCGGTACTCAAGTGAAAGTGAGCGGTAGTACTGAAGTGAACAAAGCCGATACTAAAGTGAGCAAAGGTGTGACTGAGTATAGGCTCACTCTTGAAGATGAACTTCTTTTGGAAACTTTACCTCTAGAAGAAAAACCTGTAGAAGAACTTAAAGTGGGAGAGATTACAAACTGCAATGTGCTTTCCAAGAAAAGCAAGAAGGTATTGTTTTCTTCTTTGATATTTTAGTGGTTTGGTGTAATTTGGTTATATAACCTATTGTTTTTTGCTTTTAGGAGCTGTATGAACTCAAACATATAAAGTTAACTCAAAGTGATGTTAGCAAAATATGGAAAGCCAAAGAAGACTTAATGGTTAGCTAAGTCTCTATATTTTTTCATTCAAAGATGTTTTTAGTTTTACTATTTTTTCACAAGTTTTCGTTTTTCACAACTTTAGGCAAGTCTAATACGTGATGCAAAAGCTTTCAATGATGGGTGGCTCAAAATTTTTTTGTCATCCAAAGAAGAGAAAGAAAGTGGCCCGCTTGTATAAGAACGTTGTACTCCATTTCAGAGCGTTCTCTAAGCCTAACAACGTTTCTAAACTATATCTCCAGCGCTGAGAAGAACAAAATTACAGCATATAGAGCTTACTATCTTATTCTTTCTCAAGAAAAAAAGGAGGAAGAGGATAAAAGAATGAGAAAGGAAGCTGATGGTGAAAGAGCTAAGAAAGCAAGGGCTGATAAAGATGCTGCAAGAGTTGCAGAAGGTCAGAGACTAGAAAATGAGAGACTAAATGCTATAGTTGCGAAATCAACAGATGCGGCTAAGAAAGCACAGGCCGCGGCTGCAAAAGCAAAATTGAGTCTAAGTTGCTAAGAAGCCAGTTAAAAGAAGCTGAAGCTGATTTAGTGGCATCAAAAGCTACCTTAGAGGCAGCAAGCTCTAAGGTTCATCCATTTATAGAGACAATTGTTGATGTGAGTAACTTGGCTGGTAAGTCTGAGCATACCGGAACAAAGAATGATGTAAAAGCTATTGAAAACCACATCGAGAAGGGCCTTTCTAAGGTTTATGCATCTTTACATGGGCTAGAGGAATGTAATGCAGCCTATTTCCAACACAAGCCTTTCCTTCAAGGAGAGGGTTCGAGCACTTCCACAGTGGGTTCCAGCTCTTACAACATGGCCAACTGTCACCGCTTTCTTTCTCTTTGGATGAGAAAGAACTTTTCAGCCACCCATCCTTCAAAGCTTTTGCATCAGCTATTACACTTGCCTATAGTGTGAAAAATAGTATGTGAAAAACAGTACAAGCAGTTTGTGAATTAAAGAACAATATAAACTAAGTCTTTTCTTGCTTTCTAGATTTTGCCAACATGAATTGGAGTTAAGCCATTGACTTCATAGAGCTCCTACAAAAACAGTATATACATTAAAGCAAATTATTACCGAAACACTAAGATGCTAAAGAAGAAAAACAATTTCTTCTTTGTTTTCTTGAAAAGAAAATTGCATGTAGGAATCTCCGCAACTTTAAGCTGTTCGAGAAGCTCGGCTTCTAGATTTAATGTTTCAAGAAGAATTTCATCTTCTTCACTGAGGCTATAGTTGCTCACTTCAGCAGTCATTTTCTCAAAAGCCGCTTTCTCACGTGTCGCTTTCGCAACTTTGGCTTTCTCACGATCAACTAAATTTTACAAAAATATTATGCAAATTTTTGATTAACAAATTTAACTG